AGTAAGTGGATTCATGGATGGGTTTACTTTGGAGAGGAGCGAGAAGCTGTTCTTGTCTACCTTTGGCAGTGGCTTGAATGGCAGGATGGCAGACATCTTATATTACTCTGATTTAGAATAGAAATGGTCCAAAACTGCAACGTTTAGACCTGACTTGGCAATTTTCCAAGTTATGGGGAGGAGGGGGTATCTGCAGAGTATTCAAGGTGGGGACCAGCTATTATACACGGACATGAGCAGTAGCTGTTCTGAAGTCTGGTGGTGCATGGACCCAGGAGTGTTGTTCTGGACTGCTGTGGAGCCAAGTTTTTAATTTCTGGCAGTCTCTCTCTCTCTTGCATGCTTTCTCTCTCTTTTGTTGAGTTTTACACCCAATTATAAGAATGCGCTTTTCCTATTGAACATGTCAAAATAATGTGGTTAGGTAGTGAAAATGCCTGTGCTCTAGAACAGTGGTTCCCAGCCTTTTTTATACTGTGGACCAGCACGGTTGTGGGACGGGGCGCACGGAGCCAGCTGCCTCCCTTCTGGGGCTGCTCTGCCACCCAGCTTTAACTCTGCACGTGACTGCCGGCGGCAGAAGCCGCTCACCCGGGTGGACAGATGGGGGTCCGAGCAGGGGGCTCGTGCCATGACCCAGCAGCCAACTCTTCGCGGCCTAGTGGTTGGGAATCTCTGCTCTAAATCAATGGTTTTCAACCTGCGTACCCCTGGGAGTTTGCAGACTATATCTAAGGGGTCCGTGAAAGATGAATATGATCAATTAAAAGTGTGCGAATACCCACCCTTACAGTTCAAAGGGGTCTGTACCTCCATTAAACATTTTTAGGGGTCTGCAAATGAGAAGAGTTTGAAAATCACTGCTCTAAAGCATCATAGGCTTATGCAATTCTAGCAAAAGTGGATAAAGGCCGGTTTCAATTAAACAGGAGATTAGATTGAAAAACAAAGTACATATTTGCTGGATAGCACTGGGCCTCATTCTGCTCTATTACAGAAATGTGAATGTGGATTAACTCCATTAATTCCTAGAGAGTGATTCCACTTCTATGTTTCATAACCAAGAGTAAAATTTGGGCTGTTAACTCTAGTACCTACAGTCATAACAAATATTTGTATGCTGTAGAATAAGGAATTCACTTAGTTTTTAAAAGCAGCTGAATTCAAATTCTCCTTTCATTGAAAGATCTTGACATCAGTGGAGACCCTTCAATCCAACCTCAGTTAAGTAAGCTTTGTGACACCCTGTGAGGCAAAGTTTTGCATATTTTGAGGATGAATGAAGAAAATGGGACGCAGGGGAGTGAATAATTTGCCTAAGATCACAAGGCTAATTGATGGCAATACTGGGACAGAACTCAGCCACTTGACTCCCAGCAATAACTACTCAGCTGTGAGATAGCCAACATACCGCTTCAAGATGCAAGGGATGTTGGCTAATCCTATAAAGGCTCCTAATGTTTCAGAATGTAGCAGTTAACTCACCGAACTGGGTTCTGTCATTCAAAACTATCCCCTTTTTATTTCGGACTACATGGCCCAGGTCAACAGCTCTCTTCAAGAAACACTAATGCAAGGCATTTAGCGGGGATACCAGCTCCCTTTGCTAAATACAAAGTGCTTGTGTCTCTTTTAGCATTCACACTGTAAAAGCTATATGACCCTGTTTCAAGTGTCTGGGCAGTGGTGTTTTAGATTAACTGCCCTTCCCCTAGTGCAAATGGCAGTTTTATAGACAAGGTGACTTGACCTATAAACCTAAAATCCTCTTTGAAGGGAAGACTCTCTTAGCTTCCCCAGGTGTTCAGAAATTGCACACGAGAAGCTTAATGACTCAGGCTGTCTTACTTTCCCGGGGATTTGTATGCTTAACTATGGCAAATCTAGGGTCTGAAAAATGAGCAGGCAGGTGATTTAACTTGGAGTTTTCCCTAAATGAAATTTAACTTTTTCAGGGTAGTAGTACAGATAGTCAAAATGCGCGAGCCTGAATTGATGCAGTCTTTGCAGGTTAGTCCAAGATGTGTAGATTGAACTGATAAGCAAGTGAACAGACATTCACTTCTGATTCCAGAAATGCAGCCACATGCTTGCAGTGTCCCAGGCCAGAAGCCGGGGGGTGCTAGAGCACACCTCCCTGCTTGGCTGGAGCAGACAGCTTGGGTCAAAGTTAGCCTGCCCACCCTGCAAGCATGGGGGGGGGCGTTTGTAGGGGAATTGCAAAGCATCCTGGGATGCTGAGGGACTGTGGGTTAGCTTAGTCTGGAGGGGATCTGGGACAGAAGTTCAGTAAACTGATTTAACCTAAATCAGTTAAGTCTGATACTACATCCATCCAGGTTTATCTGAAACTGGTTTGAAAGTGGTTTATGAGCACTGAGCTTCTCTTGTGTTACAGATTTGAACCGGTTTCCAATTACTTCTCTCAGTTTATGTATAATTTCTGTCCCTAGCCTATATAACCAATATATTAAACTCTCCTCTTCCTTTATAGAATGCTTAGGGAGCAACTGTCTCTCAGCTTCGACAGCTGAATGTAATGCCTACGTTTTCCAGCCGGTTGCTAAATTTCAGAGTTCAGCCAGAGTAAAAGAGACTCTGACTGGGTTAATGAAATGAATGCAGCTGAATATAAGTCTGGAGTGACACCAAACCCAGGGACATTTCTTTGTTAGATGGGTCAATTGTACCCTTGGGATAAAAAGTCACAGTTTCAGGAGTTTACAGGAGAAAGATCTCTCATTTATTCCTAATGGTCCCATACCTATTCAGGTCTAACTCGGGCAAACTCCCAATGACTCTACCAGAAGTTTGCCCAAGTAAAGAATGAATACAAACCTAAGGCAGGGCTTCAGGAGCTAGCTGAGCATTCACGTATCCCCTAAGCCGATAACATCCGTTGTTGTGGGAAATGAGGTAAGTGACAGAATTACCGTCCTTCTGGGGGGGCGACAGGCAAGTCTCACATTCCCATGCTGTAATTCCCTGTCTCTGTTGCTGCTTCAACAATAGATTAAGAAGGGGAGAGAGTGAGAGCAGAGCAAAGAGCTGTTGGAAACTCTCGGCTGAAAACAACAGGGTTCCATTAATCTCTTAGCTGATCAGTAAAGTAAAAATTATTATACAGCTCTAACACTGTGACCTGAGAGAAAATCCTTCTGTTTCTGTTTTAACTAGTTCTTCTTGTGGGTTGTGAACAGCATATGCCCAGTGCATATGCCAGCTGTGCCAGCGAAAGCAGCTTCTGGGTACACAAGGGCTTTTGTTGTTGTTGCAGGTGTTGGGCCTCAGGCACTCAGTGGATCTCCATCAGGCTTTCTACTGGGGGACCTCTGCTTTTCTGCACATGCAGTGCCTGATCTGGGAAGCTCGCCATGTAATGGATTACGGTGCAGTGATCACTCTGGATTAGAATAGGGGCCCATCCAAGGTGATCGTCCACTTGGGACTCTGCAGTGTCATGCAGCCAGATCTAATTGGAAATCAGCAAGGTTCAGCGCTTCCCTGTTGTGCCAAGACACGTGTCTGCTTGCAGGTGTATGAGATGCTATGAAGTTAAAGGGGGGGTTTTTTGAAGGAGCACTCCCCAGCCTTGTTGCTGTGGGCGGCAGGCCGGCTGCTTATGACGGCAGCGAGCAGAGTACGGAGCACTTCTGTCACTCAGCTTGTCAGGCAAAACAGTCGTTATGCTGTATAATGGAAGCAGTGACAGTAATAGCTTTGCCTTTACAATTAAAACACTTTGGCCTTGCCCCAACCTTCATTTACAATAAGTGTTTTGGTATTTGTCTGAGCCGTCTGCAGAACATGACTGGAGACAGGGTCGTATTCTACCCACATTTCCTCCTAGTAGGACTTTTGCTCACCCGAATTGCGTATCAGTTACTTCCTTGGCCTCTTGCTTTCCTCCAGCCCAGAGCTGGCTGCACTTCTGGTATACATGACATGTTAGGGTCATTTAAGGTGACAGGCACTGTATTACATTTGACATCTTATTTCTCGTCCGTTGTAACCATTTCCTACATTTTTAGCCTTTGAACTAAAATGTATCTTCCTAAAAGGAAGAAATCCATAAACATTACTTTTTTGGAAGTGTGCTGTAAAATCCACACCAAATTGAGGAAAAGTATCAAAGTATGACAAAACCATGCTGACGCATGTCCCTTAAAGCACTGAATGATTTAGCAATCAGGACTCGTAGCAGAGATGATAGCTTTTATTAGACCAACAAGATTTTTTCAAAAAAATTTTTTTTACATTTTTTTTGCAAAAATCTTGTTGGTCTAGTAAAAGATATCATTTCTACTGCAGGTCCTGATTGCTTTTTCCTCTAGACCAATACGGCTACAACCTGGATACCTGAATGATTTAGGCACACGCACAAGTTTCTTTGGGAGGGGGTTATATATCTTAGAGAACAGTGTTATGGGATTTGATGAACACATTTTAATGAACATTAATGCTACTCATGATGTAGACAAGCTGGAGATGTTTTAAGGAGCCTTGATTGCTGGGCTTTTGGGACTGCAAGGCACAGAGTTGTCTTTGTTCTCTGACTCCACCCTCCCAATCAAGAGCTATCATGAAATTGTCTTCTCCACTCCCACAGCTGTCTCAGCTCATTATCCAAACTCCAAAAGGAGCATAAATGGATGACCTGATAATGCTGGGGATCGTGACCTACCTGTGAAAGGCTGGCTACAGGTTGGGCTCTTCAAGCTGCGCCTGTGACAGTCATCCTCACTACAGACAGACCTGCTTTTTTTCATAGTGTCAAGTTATAAGACAGGGGGAAGCAGTGTCAGGCCTGAATCTGAAGGATCCGGTCCAGAAATGTAGAGGCAGGAACAAGAAAGACCTAGTGTGACCTAGCAAAGAGCAGCGCCTTAATGGTCTAAACAGAACAGGCAGGGCTCCAAGAACCTTTAATTAAACCAATAGATTTGACTCAAATGTAGGAGCAACTGCATCCACTCTGAAAGCCTCTCTCTTCTTTTAAGCTTATGCATCTGGCAAGAAGCGATGGGACATTCCCACCTCTCAGGCTGAGCAGCACAGCACTGGAAAGCTGCAGTGGGAGCCCCAGTGCCAGTACCACCTGCGCCACCTTCAGGACAGCACTAGGATTTCAGCGCTTCTGCCACCCCGGCTGGAAGGTCACTGGATTTCTACAGGGTGAGCATCCCAAAAGCTCAGGCGGCTTTGAAAACCATCTGTCCCTTCCCCACCTCCTCCCCAGGTCCTGAACTGCAAGCTTGTCTTCCTCAGCAGCACTAGACTGGGCTCACCACTGTGTTCAGCTGAAGTGTATGTACGTGCTTCTGGTGATGGCTCTGTGTAAGGACATGCCTATGAACTGCCTGCAGCTGGGAGCCAGCCCCAAATTAAGCCCCTAGAGGGGAACATCCTTGCTGGTGGATCAATCAGTGCAGCTGGAACAATGGCCTTTTTTTTTTTTGCAGATAGCTCTTTACTTTAATATGAGGCCAAACTCAAATCCTTGTTAGCAGCTCCACTCTGCCCCTGGCACAGGCTGCAAATCCAGAACCAGATTCTGCTTCCAGACTCGCTCGCCCCATGATGTACTTTCTCTGCCAGGGAGAAAGGGACAGGTGCTGCCCCTTTATTGCAAGCCATGCTCAGGTTTCTGTATCATTTACCATCTTGTTATAGAAGAGGCTTCAGCATGGTCATGAGCCTGGCTGTTTCTGGGGGCCTTTACTAGTCAAGCTTTCTGCTCCAAACAATGGAACAAAATCCACCAGTAAGCATGGTAGTGATGACATTGAACCCCAGTGCTTCCCACCTGGGCTGCAGATTCCTAGCTGTAGCAAAGGGGAGGGGAAAAAAAAAGCCCCCAGAAGCCTCCTGAAAAGTCTCCATTTGGGCTGCACTCCTAAGCTAAACCTCTGAGATCAGGATGTGTGCTGAGGACTGTCATAGCCCCCATGTGAAACTACTTTCCAGACACCTGTACAAAACATCCACGCTCAACTAAGTTTCCAGACTCCATTCTACTTATCGGTTAGTCACCCTACAAATTAACCTAAAAGAGCTGCTTGCTGCTGTCCATGCCTATCCCCATCTGAACAGAGCAAACTCCCAAACTGGAGTAAGAATCATAGCCCCAGATCGCAACTTTATAGTCTCCTAGCCACCCTTAATTGGCTAATCAGCCCTCTCCCTCTGACCCAGATGGAGCCTTGCAGTCAGCACTGCCACTACTGCTCCTCCAGTTGCTAGGAAAATCTGCCCAGCATTATCCTAGAGTTAAAACATGTTGGTCTCCATAGGCAGGATCCTCAAAGGAACTCAGGGCCAGATCCAAAGGAAGGATTAGGTGCCTTAAGTAGAATTTAGGCAGCATATAAATGCTTTCATCTAATGTTATAGCCCTGAAATCCCCTGCACAGCTGGTGCTTCTCCCTGGAGGCATGTAAACTCTGCAAGTGCCTCAGCTTTGAAACTTAAAAGTTGTTCAGACTCTAAAACTCTGCTTTGCACTGACCCAGGTGCACCTCAATCATGACATGTGCCTGCTGCCCTTCCTTTGCCCTCCCAGCCTGACCACGATCCTCAAGCTAAGTGCCCTTCTGTGGAGGGGCTCAATCCAGGCCTCGGGGTGCATAAGCACCCGCTGACAGTATCGGCCTCCTCCCAACATGCAGCAGCACAGTGACCTGTGGTGGGCATGTGCGCCGAGGGTCATCCCCTCTGTATCCAGCAGCTCAGGTTTAAAGGACTCCCCTCACAGAAGGAGACCCAGGCTTCACTCCCCCAATCAAACGTTTTCTATCAAACCCAGCCTCCCAAACCCACTCATGCAAGCACGCTAACCACTGGGCGGCAGCACCAGTCTTCCTCACTCTCTCTTTCTGGCCAAATGAATCTTGTATTCTGTGCAGAGGAAGAGCATCAAGGGGGGTGAAGAATGGGTTATGCCCCAATGATTAGAGCACTTGCCTGGGTCAGGGGACATGCAGTCTGAACTCTCAGGGCGAGGAAAGAACTGAACCTGGGTGTCGGGCATCCTGAGCAAGTGCTGTAACCACTAGGCTCTAGCTGCTCTCAGTATTCATGAGGCCTAGAAACTTGGTTTAAAAACATCTGAAGGCAGGAACTCCCCCTGCAACTGCAGAAGCCGGGGCTTGACCTAAACGCCAGTTGTGAGACTACTGATAAAATCAGGAGAGTTGATGGTTCCTTGGGACTGAGCAAAGAGCTTTAATAGCAGCAGTATGCATCACCCATTAATCCCTTTCACAAACCTAGGTCAGGCCTCCCTTTTGCTAGGGAGGGTCGCTTTGTTGTCAGCTGCGGGGAGAATATCTCCTGGTTTTTTACTCATGGGCAATTCCTATCCCAGTTGCCTGATTCCTCTGGGCCCCTAAAACAGAAACATTGACTGCTTGTTTGTGAAACCATTTACTTATTTATTTATTTTTAAATGTTGTGTCTCAGGCCAAATCAGTTCCTAAGCCCATGGATAGAGCACAGCTCAGCTGTTCAGGCCTGTGTGATGTTACCACCAGCAAGTATCCTACCTCCCAGACTCATCATCAGTCTTGGGTTTCAGATACACCCAAATCCATGGCAGGCATCCTACATGCAAGTCCCAAGCCCAGAGGCCTTGGGGTTCATCTATCCCCTGGTCTTGCTTGCCCCCAGCCAGAAGGCCATAGGAGCAAGCTATAGGGAAAGCCTGAGAGCAATTGCTTATTGCCATAAAAGGTGTAGCTGTGATCCTCCCATTGGGTGCCCATCCACAGTGCAATTGCCATGTCTCTTTTCTTCAGCCACGCTTTGGTCACTGGAGGGATGGTGGCAACAGGGCCCTTGATATCTTGGGGAAGGAAGTGTGCAGTGGCAAAATCCTTTCAGCCTGGGAACAGAAGAGGCAAGCGCCCCACTAGTTTCTCGGTAGAGAGAAGCAAGGTGATATGCAGCCCCAGCTCTTTATTCAGGACATAAGGACTCTTTCCTTTCCTCTCTGCCCTTAGCTGTGAGGTGCGGCCGGGACCGGAGTTCCTCACCAGATCCTACCTGTTTTACTCCAACCGCCTATTCAAGGCCTATCAGTTCTACTACCGGGACCCATCCTGCCGGGACCCCTCCTACTCCCTTGTCATCAAAGGCAAACTCCGACTGCGCCAGGCCTCCTGGATCACCCGAGGGGCCACTGAGGCAGATTACCACCTGCACAAAGTGGGCATTGTTTTTCACAGCCAAAGGGCCATGCAAGAGATTGCTGCTCAGGTCAACCAGACCTCAGGAGGAGGCTGCAAAGGATTCCTGCCACCTGGACGGTCCTGGGCTCCGGGAGCCCTCTATGAGCTGCTGAGTGCCAAGACAGAGCGAGATTGCACTGCAGCCCTCGGTTTTGCAATGCACGAACTCAGCCTGGTGCGGGTGGAGAAGCATTACCAGCCCCTGCTCCAGCCTCAGCAGGCAGGCAGCAGGGTAGTGGAGGAGCTGTATTTAGGGGACATTCACACCGAGTGGTCGGAGAGGCTCCATTATCGACCAACGGGGTATCAACGCCCTATGCAGAGCGCCATGGTAAGCACATTGCATCTTCCCAGTTCGTACTAGAAACTCCAGCTCAGCTTCCCCACAGCTCCTTCATTTGAGAAGCATGTCTGTCAGCCCCAGGAAGGGTCCCTCAAGATCATAAGCATGCACGCAAAGCAAAGGAAAGACAGGGCAGCGAACCTGCCCAGAAAAGGCAAGCAGGGTGCCAGGTGTGCTCAGAGGCCTAACCACAAAAGTAAGTCCTTGGTTGTATGTAGATCTGGCACATTTCTGCACCGAGAACTTGGCCCTTGAAAGTACGCAGGTCCAAGCAGTATAGTGAAAAACCATATGGGAACAGCCCTGTATTGGCAGGGGCATGGAGCTAATAGGTTTTCTTTAGCTTCTCTGTTTCCATTAGAAATGCAGACTCAGATCCTGCACCAAGTTTAGTGAAAATATCAAGTCCTGCAGCATTATAAGCTCTCTGCACTGCTGTTTGTCTTGCGTCCCTTGTTTCAGTTCTTTGTCCTGTCCTTCAGGTTGAAAGAGGAATGAGGAAACAAGCATCGCCCATTAAATCATTATTCCTCAATGTAATGGCATTAGAAGAGGAAATTGCCCTGAATACAATTATGTTATTACGCAGAAATCAAACTTTCACTCTGACATAAATAAAATTAAACAGCAGGCTTAGTTTCTTTTTATTTTTTGCCAGCACGCTGGTTCACTTCCAGAAAAATGTATTTTTATCTAAATCATAACGAATCAATTCCGAAATGTGATTGAGCAGTGAGATGGGGAGAAAAACCTTAGTGAACATTACCAGATGGAACAGAAGTAACCCAAATAAAAGGCTTGCTAGGAAGGGAAGGGAAGGGAAGGGCTGGGGGTAAGGGAAGCTTCCACCCCCCCGATATTGCAACTTCAGAGAGAAAAAAAGAAAGGCATAAAATGACAAACCTTGAAGTAACATGCACAGATTGGTATGAACTTGTGTTATCTTAGGCCAAAACTATGTCCATGAGCTAAGCCAGATGATAAACAAACATTTAAAAGTTAATTTAAAACCAAGCTTCAGATGTCGAAATTCACTTTCTGAATATAGTTTCTGCAATTAATCAGCTAACAGCTCTCCAGAACTCACCAACACATGATGTCATCACTTGGGGATAATTAGGAGCTGCCAAATATTAGAAATAACTTCATGTGATTGGTTTTGACGACTAAAACTTTTTAGCTTCCCATCTGTAGCATTAATTTGGCTGGACATTTTTTTAATTAACTCACGTGCAACATTAGTTTGCATTCATAGGAGAGTTCTGCAGCCCTGCTAGAAGCTATTTTTTAACCTGCTATGGGGAAATACTATCTTTACTCCTTTAAATCTGTATCTGTTTTAAAGTAACCCATTCTCCCCAAATTACCTTCCATTTTCAAAGAATTTCCTGTCTACAGAGAATATAGATTTGCCAACTTCTGGGATTATTTATCCATAATGTACTATATACTGTCAACACTCATTAACATGACAGTAGCAGTAAAGCAAGCTGAAAACGACTAAATTGCAGCAGACTCCAATCAACTTGCCTGTAAATTACCCACCCTACTGTTAACTACCAAGTTATTTAACCTTGTTCCGTCCAAACAGTTCAGTAAAGATTAGCTGGCATTTCAGAAATGATCAAATGTTATGACACTGGTTATTTGAAAAAGATCAGTCACTATATACTACAATATTTTTTCCACAAAATCCATAGGAAAATAGGTTTCAGCACTGCACCAGAAGCTCTTAGAGAATTAGAATTAGACATAAGGACAGGTTTGTCTTGGAGGCTTGGAAAGACTCGGATCGCAGGGGGCCCCTTCAAAATCAAGCATGGCTGGGTCTGCGTTCTTTGGTAGGAGCTTTTCTTTAGGGCCTCCTATACACTTATCTACAGCTCTGATTCTTTCCCTCCCCTTTCTGAAAGCTCTTGGGGGAGCGCTGGCTTTACTGACACCATATGATTCAATATAAGAATGCATCTCTGATAGTGCCCAGCAGCACCTGCACAGCCTCAGTGACCCCAGGTGGTGTTTTCTTTGGGTTCAGCTTTACTTTGCCTAAAGTTGGACAGGCCCATGGTAGCCAGGGGCCTGAACTCACATAGTTGCGGATGTTCTGAAGTGAAAAACCCTCTGAAAGAAAAACTCAGGCTGTTCTGAAGGTGCCTCCCCTGCCCTGCTTCCAACTTGCATCTTGGCCCATCTTCTACTCCTGAAACATGCATGCACATACGTCTCCAAAGACAGAATCCAGCTTATTCCTCCTTGTGTCCCCTTGAATACCTGAGGTTTGGCAGTGCTTCCCTTCAGCTCACTGAACTACATAGACCTATTTGCTGCTCACATTCTTCCCTGGTGCAATGCCGTGGACCTCCATGGAGTTGCCCCAGGGATGCGGGACTTTGGCCCATTGCTGTTTGAATATTTGGGCTGGGTTTTGCATTTCATTTGCTTGCATTGTCTTTCGTTTGTCCAACAGCATCACGTGCATCCTTGCCCTGCTTGTGGGATCATATACCGGGCTGACGAGCACCGACCGCCTGTCCTGCCTGCCAGAGCTGAGCTGCCGGTGCAGTTGAGTGGCAGATGGGTGAGCACTCAGTGTGAGGTCCGGCCAGCGGTGCTTTTCCTTACCAGGTACTTCATATTCCACGGCAGCAATCGTAGCTGGGAAGGCTATTACTATCACTACTCTGACCCACTCTGCAGACAGCCGACCTTCACCATCTACGCATCTGGACATTACACCAAGGGCGTCCCATCTGCCAAAGTGAGAGGTGGCACCGATCTAGCCTTTAAAGTGACCCATGCTCGGGTTACACCCATGGATCAGGTCACAGTGACTATGCTAAACTCCTCCGCACCGGGAAGCTGCGGAGAGGCTGGTTCTTGGAGCGCTGGGCTGGAACAGGATATAACACCCACGAATGGATGTTTGGCTCTGGGCATCAAGCTGCCTCACATGGAGTACGAGCTTTTTAAAACAGAGCAGGATGCAAAAGATCGCAGCTTGCTGTTTATTGGTGAAAGGCCCACAGATGGGTCAAGTCCGGACAGACCTGACAAGCGGCCCACTTCTTACCAGGCACCTCTCATCCAGTGTGCGGGGGCCTCGGGGACTTTTGCTAGATACATCAGTCCAAACGACGTGGGGAAAGAGGAGACTAACCAAAGCAAAGTGCTAAAACCTTTGCCTGTGGCCTTGGTATTGTTTATAGCACTGCAGTTTGTAACACGGGACTAGGTGGTTCCAGCTGTCTGGTCGTGTGCAGACCGCTTTGGTGCTAAGACAATTTTATATCCTCTTCAGATAAGCACATCGGGAATCAGCTTTGCTTAGATTTGTACACATTTAAAATACGGACAAAGCCAGGGATTTTCCCTGTGTAACGTGCCTTACTACGTATTCTGCCTCCTGTGCACACATTGCCTTGTCTACCTGCTTCTGGTCCACACTTAATGTGGCAACATGGAGGCATTGCAAATTGTGTCGAGTAATTTAGCAATATTAAGAATACAGGTTATATAAATTAGAATTGCCATCACTGCTTGTAGCTTTCAGCATTTGCTAGGATATAACTGAGAGCTCTGTTCAGACCAGATGCCCAAAGCTGGCCGGTCAGGCTCCTTGAAGCTAAGTAGTATTTTTCCCCTCATTTCCTGTTCCTAGAAGCTCAAATACCCAGCTTCAGCAAGGGCCCTGGACCGCTGGCAGCAAATCATGCCTATCCCACTTCGTATGTGCACATACACCTATGTCAGAAGAGATGGGACATAGTGACGCAGAAGAGTTCAGAGCGGGTTGCTTTCTGCTCACGTGTATGTGGAAAGCGTTCCACTCCGAGTGTTTGCCTGAGAGCACTCTCGCAGAGAGGGAAGGGCTCTGGTAACAAACTGAGGCCATCCCTGCAGTCCTCAGGCACACAGATAGTTTTTCCAACCACTTATTCCCAGGCTCTGGGCTACAAGGATTCCAGTTCACTTCTGTTCATAAGCTAACACCAGTTTAGAGAGCAGTGATCCCACATCCCTTTCTGCTCCTACTTTTGCTAAGTCACTATATGCCATCTAGGCCAGGTTTGGGGTCACACTGATCCCACGTGTCATACTGTTGCCTTGCCTAATAGTCCGAGACATCACCGGCCCATTTATGACTCTGTCACCCTGTACTATGCAAACCCAAGCCTACATGCACATGCAGACTTACAGCCATCATCTCCTTGGGCCACCTATTTTTACACCCCTCGCTTTGGCAAAACCCCTATAGCTTACTGGCCCAACCCTTAATGAGAGCCTTCAGTCTGAATCACAAAAATGACATTTCCACCTATGTGCAAGTCTAAGGGTGCTTTATAAAGCTGACATAAGCATGAGGGAGAGATTTATAATCAGAAAGCACCATCAGGTCCTGGCTGTTTACCAGCTGCCAAGTGAACGAGGTATGGAATTATATTCCCTATCCTACTGCAGCAAAGAGGCATTTAGCTAACTTGGAGAAGATACCACATGATAGCTAAATCCTGTCTCACAAAGGATCTTTTAAAATCTGCTAGGCAACATCTACATTTAATGCTGTATTTACAAAAACTGCATCTTGTACTTTAGGTAATTTATGGGTTTTATAATGTATAAATACTTGGGTTGGGGGGGTGGCTTTGTACGTTAACAATTGATCCAAATGAGATGCTTATACAGTTTGTGGTCTAAGTGCTACCATGTTTCTGTTCACAGAAAAAATATAATCTTGTACAAAAACACCTGCACATCTTCCCAAGCTTGTTTTTTTAAAGGTTGTTGTGTAGTTTTTTAAAAGGTTGTTGTGTAGTGTTGCCTGCTGTAATGGAAGTCTCCAAGGGCAAACTCACGTGTTTAAAGAGGAAATGGACCAGCCATAATGCAATGACTATAAATTTAATTTATTATATTTTGTTTCTCTTGCATGCACAGGAAATTTTACATTCTGCCCAGCCACACTGGCATATCAAAGTAGAAACAGTCATTTCAAACCCCCTCTCCTTCCCCCGACATGTCTGGATGGTCTTTTCTTGCTGGGGTTTAAGGATTAGCATTTTTAAGCCAGTCTCACCTTCTTTTGAACAGGATTGTAAAATTGGGTGAACCGAGTGGTAAGTCCTGGAATGGTGTAGCTGAAAGTCAGCTGTGCCATATCCCCATCCAAGCATTCATTGTTCAGCACCTTCAACAGATCAGTGTCCCCCCAGAGCAGGCTGGCCCACTGATGCACCTGTGACTTAGGCTGCTGCCATTTGAATTCACCAAACCACCACTTTCCCTTCAACATCCAGGGGGTCCCTTGGTGGTCTTCATTCTAAAACAGCAGACCAAGCCTGAGGGTGTTTCCTTGAAACCTTGACGAACGTCTAACCTGAGCTGGTAAAGGAAGTTCTGAATTTTAGCTCAAAGAGAGGGTTTTTATGCCAATACTTTCATTTGTATCCACCACATAACTTACACTCGCAGTCAACATTTTTGTCAGATTTGATGCTATGCTGGAGGGCATGGTGTAGAAACCTGGCCAGTCACAACATCTGAGGTCCTCTTTGGCATGGCGACAAGACTGACATTACATAACAGCTCTACAAAGTACTCATCACGACCATCTCCACCATTTTTCCCACTGGTTTTATATTACCAGTACTTTATGTTGAATGGCCAACTTCACTGAACCAATGCGTCCAAGTTGGCTTTTAGCACAGTTGTCCTCATTCGTGATGGGGGAAACAGTTTTTTCTGGCCTTTTGCAAGAATTCCCAGTTTTGATTCACTGTTCTTTAGTCTTATTTCTCCCTCCCCCATTTTGCTCAGAGCTGGCCTTGGCTTGGCCCTCTTGCTGCCCCATGTGTATACGCTGGTAACTGATGTCATCCTCTGCCCACACCAAAAATGATCAGGCTGTGATTTGGGGAATTCCACAACAGGAGGCAAACCCAGGGGACCGGAGCCAGTGGCCCAGCAGGCTCCTTCTAGTCCCGTCTTCCTATGGATCTCCAGGCAACCACCCACTTCCAGCCCAGTGATTACTTTATCTTTATCTTTACAACGAGGCTTAAAATAGAATCCCCTCACCCGGGCACACTACCTTCAGTGTCTGAAGTAGCCAGAGCTCATGAAAAACAACAATGGGGACTGATTCCTTTAATCCAAACAAAAGCAGCTGTTTTCTCTCTCTCCCAGGTTTGCTCATAGTTTGCCTCATCTTTGTCCTCCTGGAGCAATCATCTATTGCGGGCCATGTTTGGTGGGGAGAGAGGAGGATGTCCGAGACATCCGTCCGTAGGTAGGCAGGGAGGTACTGGCTAAACATGCCTGGAAAATTCCTACGTGAATGTTAACGCTTCATGTCTCAAGATGCTTTGTGCATCCCGGCTCTCTGTTAAACAAGGCCAAAATGCATTTTTCTTTTTATTCCGCATGCAGCCTTTGCTTCCTGCATTAACGTGCTCACACGGAGTCTTTTGTGCCTTCTCCAGCAGCTATTTATAAAAGCTGCCTTTGCAAATCCCTGTGCTTCCAGCAGTGGATGTAAACAGTCATTCTGGGCTGAAACTTGCCGGACAAGTCCTTAATCCAGGATCTATTTTCTTCCTTGCCTCTTCAATTAAAAATAATGACTTGTCTCTGTCAATTGGCTATTTACAACTGTTTTTAACTTGCTTGGTAAAGCACTGTGCATTCTTGGGGTTCCCATGTGTTTCTCAAATTAAAGCCAACCACAAACATATGTTACAGTAAACAAGCCTGAGCACTTCCAGATCAATTTGCATTGCAGAGAAAAGCTGTGACCATGTGCATTGAGTCTTGGTGTTCTGGTTGTAAAAAATGTTACGCTACCTGTGGTCAGAGCACATGTTACTGCCCTGTAATACTGAAGCAATGGATACAAAGGTTTGCACAGATTCATAACATAGCAGAGCCAGTCAAAGGAATGAAGTTAAAACATAGGCTCTCTCTCTTATTAGGGGCAGACAGAGCAGGACCATGCACCGGAGTCTTCCAGGTCTTTAGTGAGGTTCCTAATTATTGGCAGGTTTCTCTATGGTTTAGACCAGACATCCCACCCCACCCCAGACCTGGGACACACTATTGTGCTATGCCTCAGTTTTCCCTGTCTGTACAATGGGGACAATGAAACTGACCTCTGCCACGTGCTCTGGCATAACCAAGCACTTACTGTTATTACTAGCTCCTGACAGAAGTTTAGTTTAAACTGATACGTGCCTATGTAGTTTTGGCTCTGAGAAATCAGCACTTCCAACAAAGAGAGTCTCCATCAGAAACCTGCTCTTTCATAGAAAAAAATAAAAGACAACACAAAACCTGCTGGCAGTTGTGATACTGGACTTGGGTTCACATTCCTAATGCCATCATAGACCTAATGAACAATCCGATCTCGAGAGATACCTCTTGGACACCGCTGCAGTGCAAACTGTGCAGGTGGGCATGTCCGTGCACAGATGCATAAGTATAATGGAAAACTTGACCAGTTAATGTTGGATTTCAAAACTACAATTTATCCAGTAGTCCTCAGCAGGAAATAGGAGAGACAACCAGGTAAATGTGGTGGGCAGAAGTCTCCAAATGCAGAGAATGGGTGGGGAACAGCTGCTATTTTGTACACACCTCTCCCAGGCCTCTGCAATCCTTACACAACCAGAAGTTCATTACAGATTTCCAGGACAGGAACCACCTTTGTTCTTTGCCCTCTGCAGCCTCAAGTGCCCTGAAGGGTCTTAGATTATAAGAACACCCTTGATTAGAATAATGCCTCTGGAGAAACAGGACAAGGCGGAGGTCTCTTGAGCTGCAGAGCTGATCACTATACAGTTTCTTCCAGGTCTGCAGTCCCAGGGCAGGTGTGAAATCATTTCTTCTCTGCCCTACTTACAAATCCCTCCCACCCAAAGGTCACTAGTGGTAGCAAAAAATATCAAAGAGCCTCAACATGTCTCATTAAGACTCCATTTTCAGCTCTTTGTAAGTTGGCCAAACTTTAGCTGGATTGAATTTTCACAGATCACGCATCTGCCTCAGGCTTAATTTCGGGGGTGAAATTTCAGCCCAAACAATTCAGTTGTTTCCAAGAATGAGGCTACAGGAAAAACCAAATCATCTTGCCCCTGTTCAGTCGATCTGGGGAGCATTTTCAAGGAACTGTTCTACCGTTTGGTTTGAGAGGGTGGCCGGTGTCTTCTGCCAGCCTCATAAGAATTCATCCAAATTTGATCAATTGACAAACCTTTGGGGAAACACAACGAACAGCATGCACTGGCTTAGCAGAAGCTCCTAGAAGTTTAGCAGTTCTGGTTCCTAAGGTTTCATCCTCCCTGAATGCAACTAGGCCTCATGTCTACTGGTGGTGCCATTTGACAACTGAGCATGCTCCAGCCCTGGGCTACGGGCCAGGTTAGACGATGGGAGGAGAAAAGTCAAAAAGATTTTATTTGCGATTGTTGATCTAAGCTAGGATACAGCTGGACACAAGAGCTGGCAGCAGGGAGTTGCTCTTTACTGTGTTCCCAATTATCTTACAGCTGGCACCCAGATGGCGCAGAGGAGAGGAAGGGGGAAGCCCTCACTTGAGTGCTGACAATAATGAAGGCCACAGGGAAGGAAAGGACTAGGCTGGGAGAGTGAATCTAGTGAGGCTGGGGGCCTGAGGGGAGGGGAGGACAGGATTGGGCTTGGTGTGGGAGACCTGACTAGGTGGAAACGTTGACTGTGACTAGGAACCAGACATGGATCTGACCCAGAGCCAGAGTCCCAGAGAGAGCATCATGTGGGATGAAGAGTCAAAAATGTGGCAGGTGAGAAGAGTGTGGGGAGATAAGTAGCTCAGCAGCCAGTGCGGGGAAGAGACAGATGAGACAAGGAGCTGGAAGGGCAAGAAAATGCAGACACGTTCTGCTGGGGCAGGGACCAGAACTAGGATGAGAAGGCTGAAGAACAGGACGAGGCACGAGAATGAGATGAGTGGGAAAGGGACAGGACCTGGGGTTGGGTGGGGCGGAGGGGATGGACAGAAGGGTCTGGGCCTGGTGGTACAGAGCCTGGGACCGAACGAACATCCTCAAATCTCACCCCTACCCCGCCTGTGAAACCCACTGGCCAAATAGCTCTCAACTGATGTTCAAGCAGAGGATGATCGCTGATGACAGCACTGCCATCAACTTTACTTACTCCTGGATCGATTTAGAGGTTTCACTTGCCTTAAGAATAAATAAATAAATAAATAAAATCCTAGATATCAGAGCAGCAGGACTACATTAAAAACAAAACATAATATTGCAAAGACAAGCACTTGCAAGCCAGAAGGTGCCAAGAATCTTGTTGTACCAGCAACTATAATTCAGCCCCTTTGTACATGAATGATACCGTGTCTCTAAATCATGTAATTAAAGAGTGCATCACAAGCCAGATGCACAAAGGGGAGGCATTAAATGTAGGCGTTGCGTGCGTAATTATATAATAGGAGCTCTGCCAGCCCACATGGGATTTTTAGGAGGCCTTTCTAACCCTCCTCACAGGAGAGGAAGCTCTGGGTTCAGGATTAAAAGTATCAGAGCACAGCCCTC